AATAGACAATAAATATAACAAATACAAAAATTAAGCAAAATGAATTATCAAAATAATACAAATGTTTAAAATATGAATGAGTCATTTATTTAAATATATGAAGCAATAATGGTGGAGCTTTCAAAGATCTAAATATCTGGCTCAACTTCATTGATAATTTTTAATTAAAAGATCCTAGATCAGGGGTTTCCAATCTTTTTGGTCCATAGGCCGTATTGAGACCTCCACCTAAGTTCCGAGGGAAGTATATAAAAATTCTTGTTATATACATGACACTTCAGTTGTGAAATAAGTTTTCTAAGAGAAAAAAATACATGCAATAAACGTTGTAAATTTAGCAAATTACTCATACAAAGACTCGCTAAATTTCATATTTTTTAAATAGTTTTTAAGACTTTACGGTGTAATCAAAGAAACTTTTGCAGGGCGGATAGGAAGTGCTTGCTTAGGATCCAAGTGCTTAGGATCCGGTCCGGACAGTAGTTTGGAGACTCCTGAACTAGATTATCAATTTTGAATATTTTACATTTTGCCATGGATCTTTAATACTTTAATGAAAATTAGATATTATTTTATACTTATTATTGTATTCAAAATACAAAAATTTAATAATAGTAAATATTTTTAAAATATCTGGTGTGTCCACTCACACGACTTTCCTACCTATTTCAGAAAAGTTTTTATATCTTTACATATGTTCATGAAGAAACAAAAAAGAATTGAACTAGATACATTTCCCTGAAAATTGATCAAACATAAGATTTGAGTAGGATTTATTTGATAAACTAAAGCAATGTAAACCGGCCAAAGGTAGATCAGTGTAAAAATTTCAATACTTCCTAATATTGCTGATCAAAAACTTTTTGCCATAGCTTAGTATTGTCAAACAATAATTTCTGTTAAATGTAGAGGAAATAGTGAAGATTGTGTGATACGGGCAACAGATTTTCTTACTTTCACTTAGTCATCTTCATTGTCTCATTCACCCCTTTCTGACTACCACGATATGAAATCGTAATCTTACATTGGAAATTGAATAGCTGTAACTTCATTAATAGTTGTCCAAAATGAACGATTTTTATATGGCTTTGGAGGAAATTTCATTACTTTTCAAATGACAGTCTAAATGGCGTATTTTTCGAATTTCTGTCACAGGCATCAGTAGTCAAAACCCTACAAAATAAAAAAAGAAGCAACAAAATCGGTTCAGTAGTTTCCGAGAAAATCTTGGCACAGACAGACAAACAGACAGACCTTTCAATAGTTTTATTATACATTTTACCGCCTAATATATACTTAGGGAGTTAGGCCCCATAACATTTTTCTTTTCCTCATTACTTTTTTTCCTGAATTTTTTCGGTAATTCAGTCTATATACGAAAATTGATAGAACAATGATTAGAACATTCTAGGAAAGTTTCATCAAAATTGTTAGAGACGTTTTTGCACTACAGTCTATAGAAAAACATGTTTCTCATTTATTGCGCGCAAACTATTGCGCACGGAGCACCGAATTTCTGTCACAGGCATCAGTAGTCAAAACCTTACAAAATAAAAAAAAGAAGCAACAAAATCGGTTCAGTAGTTTCCTAGAAAATCTTGGCACAGACAGACAGACAGACAGATCAATGGCTAAAAATATGTTATTCGGACTCAAGGGGCTCTGAAACGTATAGATCCGTCAAAAACCGCATGTCGGAAATTTGACCCGATTGTAATACTTTCCTTACCTAATATAGGTAGGAAAGTAAAAAAGAAAAGCAATAGGAATGAATAGATCTTATAAATTTATGATTAATGATTTGTTTGTTTTTTTCAGATTGGCATTCATCGGTCATGGACTCCTAATATCAGGTATTTAAACTATTCAATAATATTATAACATTTGTATGAACAAATGAATGTTTGATTTTAATATTTTTATGGTTGTCGGTTATTATTTTTCAGAATGAATATCATGTCATGTTTCACTATCAATTTTTCTTTGTTGTATGTCATATTGCAAAGTTTTAAATATTATATATAAAGTTTAACATATTATATTCAATATTATATACATACATAAAGTTTAACACTTAAGTGTAAAATTCTATTTATTTTCTCCTTCTAAGAGATCACCAAATTAAAAAAAAAAAACTTAATAGGTAGAAGTTATTTTTGATAGCTGATTTTATGAATCATGTTATTTATATAAAGAGATTTTTCTATTTATAGAAATAGAATATAGAAGTAGGTATATTTGTTACAAAGTGACAAGCATTTAAATCAAAGGGTTTGTGAAGTGTGCGTAGGTCTCTAATTGACTTTAGATTGGTAACCGGAAATTTAATTGTTTGGGACATGGGTTTATAAGTTTATAATTTTTTGCCACATGGGTCTGAAATGTTAAACGAAAATTTGCACCAAAAAATTGTTTTTTGTTGTTGTTTTTTTGCATATTTTGAATCCATATATTGAGGCAATCCCATATCAGATATTTGAACCATATTTCTTGAGCCCTTTTTAATAAAATCAATATTGAAGGTCAAAAATAACAAAATATGCTTTAAAAATGAATTTAAAAACCAAATATAGGTTTATTTGTGATAACTTAATCTTGGGATATAAATCAGGGCTGGAACTATGTAAGGTCAATGAGGGAAATTGCCCTTGATGGCAGAATTTAGAGGGTGAGAAATTTTTGACAAAATGTTTTTAGGTTCAGTAAAAAAATATTTTTTTTTTTTCTTTTTTTACCTTAATACAGTCAATGATATGTATTAATAGGAGAGTGGAAATGTCAAGCAAGCTAACATGTGCACAAAATAAAATAATCACAAGTTCGTGTCCAGTTGCCGAGAAGGGCTTTTAACTCTGGCATTAATCCCTGGAAAAAAACCTGTATAGCCTAAAAGGGGAGGAGAAACAAAAATAAACAATAATATTATCATTATTGTATTTATAAAAAAAAGTTAATAATATTATATTTAGTTAAAAACATTATAGAGGACCCATGGAATAAAACTCAACCCTCCAACTCTGGTTATAATAGGTTTGGTTGTACCTCAACAACATATAAACATGGAAATGAATTATTAAATGATTTTATTTTTATTTTAATAAAAGTGAAAATGTATTAGTATAATTATTTCAATTTTTTTTTAGCTGTTTTAATTTAGGTGATCAATTGGCCCTAAACTCCCATCTCTTGGGCCTGGGTTCTGTGGCTTTGTTTCTTGCTGTGGCAAGGAATTATTTATTCTGTTACATCTGCCATTGAATGCCATGCATTTATCAATTTTTTTTTTAATATTTTGGGAGAAATGTATATATTTGGATATTTTGATGAAATATTTTTTTTGTTTAGACTCCAATATACTTTAATTTGGTAGTGAATGGCTTTTTTGTTTATACTTACCTGATTTCATTTTATTAATTTATTTTTTACAACTTGGTAAAGTTTACATTTCTCATTTTTTACCACTTTTAGTTAATTTTTTGTTTTTGTTTTTAAGTATTATTCTTATTTCCTGCTCATGATTATTTTTGTTATGCCTATTACTTTATCTTACCTATATAGGTATAAAATGCATAGTACTGAAAAGTATTGGCATCATTAAAAATTTCAATTCTGAATTTTTCAACAGAAATGAACTCGTACACATTTTAATATTTTCTGAATAAAAAGAAAAATTATTTCGCAAAATGGTCTGTATATCTTTGCATTTGTGACCTGCCTAATTCATCAACAAAATTTGTACGAAACTGAAATCAAGTATTGTAGGTAGGTATATGCCTAGGAGATTACAGCAACGTTTTTGCCAAAATCGAGTTACCGGAAGTGGCACTTTATATCATCAAATTTAAATATTTTTAAAATATTCTTGAAAACGCTTCTCTAATTATTTTGATTATATTTGATTTATCAATATAGAATCAATTGGTCTTTAATATCAGGTAGGTGTTATCTTCATTGATTTTGTTTTATTGGGCTTAAATGACATTTAAAGTACCTTTAATTTTATCCATTTAAAATAATTAACCACTTCGCATTGTTACTAGTAATAAAAATAATTAAATATAAACTATGAACAAAATTTTGAACAGTAGAATTTTCTTATCCTACTTCATTTAAACCACTCATGTTAATACAAGACTTCCCTTTATGTATTTATTGTTAGTTTAAACTTTTATATATTTCACTTACACTTGATTCTCAAAAAAGATTTTCGATTTTAGTTGATATATAAAATTTACTAATGTTAATTTTTTTTCCACCTGTTTCAAAGTAGATATGTTGGTTTCAACTTTTCCAAAAGTTCCATTAATTTTTTTTAAAATTTAATTTATTAACATGATTATAACTATGCAAAATAATTATCTTTTATTATACTTATATTCGTCATTTTTTTTTAATAGCGTTATTTCTGGTGTGCAAACTGGACCTCCTAATATTTTTCTATTCGTGATGATGAAACATTGGCTTTTAATAAAATAGTTTTTCCACTATTTTAGTCTGTTTATGACTGCCACCTCGGACCATCTCCTTCCTTCATTTTTCTATTCTGTATTTTTATTAATAAAATTTGCTAGAAGATATCATTGCGTATATTTAGGGCAATTTTTAGTATACTTTATGGTATATTTGAGTGTTTTTCACTCCATAAACATTCATTCTTGTTTAAAAGGAAACTTGAAAATAAGTGTTGAAAATTAAGAAAAAATGTTATTAGTTTGATGATGTAAAAAGGAAACTCTTTAGAGAATAATATCCAAAAATGATAAATATTCAAGAATTATATTAAAAGATATGCAGAATTGTAATTATATAATTCTAACAATTTGTTAGTTTTTTATAGGTTAATGATGTAAATTATTTTAAAATGTTTGTTTGTTGAAAATTATCAAATTGAGTCAAAATTTACTGTTTTTTAATTTTAATACAAGATGACAATTCTTCGTCCCATTTCTAGAATGCCTGTAATTATTCATTGTTTGGTAACAAATAAAAGAAACAAACAATTCAATGAAATAACAGTTATATTTGATATGAACAAATAATCTACAAAATACACTGTTAAATAATTTTTAAAAAGGAATGTATTGCACATAGAAACAGTTTGAGCGAAAATAAAGTTCTTGAAGAACCGATTTTACTTGATAATATTGTCAAACTTCAATATTACATGTTTTTACAACTGTTTAAAAAACAAAACAAATGATTGCACTAGTATAAAGGATACCTAATTAGCTAAATAAAGAAACAACAATAAATCAATTGAACTTTGGCTTTGCCACAATACTAATAATTTCCGTAAGCCATTCCAGTCATTTTTTCTGTCCAATGTTCATAACACTTCATTGTATTACACCTATGGACAAATAAAACTTAAGAAACTAACAAATTATAACAGTACATAACAACATACTTATTTATACATAATCAGATTTATATTCTCCTGATATGTAAAAGAACTTTAATTAAAAAAAAAAATAATATAAAGAAAAATGATAAGGCTCTGATACATATCTCCATCTCATATTGAGAAGGATATTTCTAACATAAAATAGATGTTTCTTGTTTTTTGAAATAATGAATTGCATATGTTTGTATATAAATTAAATTACAGCAGAAATATATATTTTTTGAGATCATTTTTAAAAAATAAAATATATTGTAGAACTGGAGATATGTTTCTTGTTATAACCTAAAAATTAGAATGCTACATGTTACGTTACTGGCATGCATTATTTTAATTATAAATTTAATAATACTGCTTGAATTACAGCTATCCATATGGTAGCTCACATCCATGGCATTATACGTACAGTTTTACTATTTACAAATATTGTAATTAATTGTACAATTTACACATTTTAAGTCCCTTAATTGATATTTCCACATACTATATTATCCCCCATGAACACAATTTGCAATAACACAATAGATAAACAGCTCTGTATAATTTTACGATAACACAAAATGCATAAAAGCATCCATTACACATCATACCGTTGAGACCGAATTTAAATTATAAAATTGCGACAATGTTTTATAATATATTCACAGTTTTAGTTACAGTCCTTAAAAATTACTATCTACAAATGTATCATCGAATTCCATATCAGTGTGATATGGATAAAAAACGATAAAGCAAATAAAATAATTACATTAACAATGCTAATAATTTGTACAAGAAATATACAGTGATTTGAAAATCTCATTTCAAAGTCTTTGTAAAAAATTCATACTTCAAAATGGACTACGACGGTGTTGAGTACCAGTTTGAAGTATTTTTTAGGGGGTCTGTATATACACCTGGGCTAACCGAAGTTGTTTTATTGGACGGGTGGTAGAGATGAAAACCTGTTGATGGTGCTGAGTGATGGTAAAACTGTTGGTCAAGAGAAGTAGTTGCATAATCCAATGCACCTGGGTGCATGGGATATGGCTGAGGCTTCAGGGGTAATGGTTGCGCAGGTGCTTCACCTCCAAGGTACTGGTGCCTCAGCACCTCGCTGTATACTGGACTTTCAAAACCAGAATGAATTTGCTGCTGATGCTTATCACGAGGTGAAACGGAAGAAGGAGGAGTCATAGCCGAATGGTAGTCAACTGTGTATCCACCTCCTGAGTAGAGCCCAAAGTCATTCTTTTGATTATGAAGAACAAACTGGTCGCTGTAGCTGCCATCACTTCCTGGAGGGGTAGGCAATGGTCCAGAATGATTCATGTCTGAGTAATAGCCTGGCCCTGACCTTCCAGCTTGTACATTTGCGCGAATTACACTTTCTCGGTTTGCTGCGTAGAGCTGCCTGAGGAGGGTCGATGCTGGTAAACTTCCCGTCTGTTGTCCTCCCAGGTGGCTCAAATGGTGATGTGTTCCAATCCATTGTATTGTACTTCTTTGCTGCTGAGCCTTCAGGAGTGTGTCTGTACTAAAATCGGTCGGTTGATGTGTTGTAGGTGTAGCTGATTTGTCCATTGCTGGTAAATGTTTTGACATGGCTTGTTCAAGATCTTTTACAGATGTTCCTCCCCCATCACTGTCTTCGGGCGGAGCCTTAGGGCTAGCTGCAAGTGCTGAAGAGTGGCACGAAGAACTAGCAGGGCTTAATACAGGATAACGTTTCCTTACTCCTACACTACGTTCTTCTTCATCTGAACTACAACTGCTTTCTTCTTCTCCAACTTTTCTTTTTACACCTCTCCTTTCATTCACAACTTTCTTAATAGGCCTTGTGAGCACATTGTTGATCTGGAAAGAAATATAAAACAATTAGACATGTTTGTCGCAACTATTTGTGAGTAATCAAAATATAGACTAGAATGAAAAATATAGATTTTTTTTTTTATAAACTATTATTACAGAGATGAGGGAGAAGGTTCACTCTAACATTTTATGCAAACTAAAATAAATGTGGTAATTATTTCTAACTATTTCATGGTAACTATTTCATATACATTAAAGAAATAGTTGACTTTGTATATAAGGAATATAAATTAATAATTTTTTGAAATTATAAATATTGGCACATACTTCATCATTGATGGTATAAAACTACTATTTTCAAGTGACAGAGAATTCAATATTGTGATTGGAATGTCAATAATTATTGAGAGGTAAATTTTATGATGCCCTCTATAGCTCTGAGATTAAATTAATTTATGTATGCATAATTCATGTATCTGCGTATGTACCTGAGAATGATCATGCAACTGAGTTGTGTGATCCATGATCCCCCTTCCTCTTTGTTCACTAGGCCCTTCAGCCCCATCTTCTTCTAGGTCTGGCCCTGCCAAGTGTCTCTCGGGATGGTGAGGTCCTCCTGTACTTCTCCCTTCTGCAACAAAATATGCACTCATGTAGTACGAGCATTTTTATTGGTACAATCGAGAAATATAAACCTAATATAACTTTGTTTGAAATCAAGCCTTTAAATGTTATGCAAGTGTAGATATGGTAGCGTAAATATTTATTAAACTGGAAGAATTAACTCTTTTTAATTTTCATTCTTTCTAACATTTGGGTTAGAAGTTAATCTGTCTAAGTACAAATAGAAATTAACTTATATTATCCAGTGTCATGAGTCTAGTAATGTTTATGGGTTAAATTTTTACTGAAAGCCTTTTATATCATCTAATTCATGGGTGGATACTTGTCAAAATTTGTGATTAGTTAATTCATATCAAATCTTAATAAAGCGATCCAAAATATCATTTAACTGAAGTGATGGATATCCAAAGAAAGGCTATGAGGATAATCAGCTCTAAACTGGCTGGCAAACATGTAGATGGAAGCATTGTGTTTGACTTCAATTATTAGTTTTAATGAAGTTAAATGGAGTAAGGTATGTAGGCAAAGATTGTTAGTGTTATCGGGGTCAAAACTTAGGGTACGTCAGTGCTTGTTATTAAATTTTGGTTTTTTGTCGGAGAACTCTGAATTCTAAATTGATCGCGTTGCCCGTTAAGCCTTCAGTCAGTACAATCTTGCAAATTAATGGACCATTAACCTGGAACCAAGGTCGAAAAATGCCTACCCAAAGAAGGAAGGACAAAAACGCCAGACTGCCGTGATATATAGTCTCCTTAGGCAATCCAAGCAGACTGATGTGAAAATTGGATTCCTTGGAGGGGTGGAGTGGTCACAATTGGAGAGAGCCCTATCACCCTTTCACAATTTCCTCTTGCGAATAGACAAGGCCGGTCCCATTAACTTTCATGAAGTCCATAGATAGCATCTCTATCCCTTGTCCACCCGCTCCATAAGTCACCCTCTACTTTCACTATACATGTTAATGCCTTCTTCGAGATAAATTACACCAAACAGATGCACTATTCGCAATTCTTCGTTTGTTATATGTCTAGAAATAAAGTGATGACTGACATAGAAAAGGATAAAAAGAAGATTTGATTCGTTCATTTAAAAAAAAAAACTAAGTCATTTCGTCGACATGTTAAAGTATCGAATGCGAGTCTGTTTAACATTCCAAATTCGTTACTTTAATATGGTGCCGACGATATAATTAAAATTTCATAGAAATCAATAAAAACTGTGTCTTTCACAAGTAAACCCATTTTCAAAGATTTTTTTGTTGCTGAACTTCTTTGGTTTGTTGTTATGTAGTTAAGGCGTTAAACCTTCAGGTTATCAACGCTGTTAATTAAGCTGACCGTATTGTATTCACATAGAAGTATTGAAATATCGAATAATGTTTATAATAAGTGAATAATTAAAAAAAACATTCTTGACTCATGTTAAGCAAGAAATCATGTTTTAGGTGGTGTTTAGTTTGAACAGAACAGTCATTTCAAATCTTACCATTTTCTTGTATTAATAAAAATAACACTTAAACATAGTGTAACCAGTATCACTACTGGTAAATGGCACTTCTACTGTTGGGGAGAATTAGTCCAGCTAGTGGGCTTTTGCTCACCCCTGACGACTATTGCAAGATTGCCGAAGCTATACCTATCTAATAACCCCATATGCCAGCTATGCCGGACAGGGGATTAAAAAATACAATTGTGAGAGTGTAATGATTCGTTTCTCGGTGCCACCGAGAAATAAATGACAGTCAACCTAGATGGGAATCAAATCCACACCGTTCAGGACCGGGAACTCAGGGAACCCACTTACCAACCTGCACTGCTTCAATATTATTACCGATATTTTCATGATGTTCGTAATAACTTTTCTCACCATTCTCATCTAGATTTTCTACTATATCCTCCTTTGACCACTTTTATTTCTTTTGATAAAATGACATGCTCCTTCAGAATGCCATCCCGAATTCGCTTTCAGTAATTATTTTTTCTATTACTATTAAGGCACTTTCGATGCATAGACTGATCGAAGCGGTACAGGAGTTGAAAATTATAGCTGTAAGATGTATGAATGTTTAAAGTATCGACCAATAAATTCTAAGGTAACAATAATTCATTTATGAAGACTTACGCATGTCTAAGGATGATTTATTTTTGATCTATTGTAACTCTATTCCTGTTGGAAATGAGTTCTTTCTCAAATTCTAAAATATTTTTATTTTTGTCTTCTTGGACTGTAAATGTTGAACTGGAGTTCAAAACCAAATTAATGTGTATAATTCAGGGACCTAGACATACTACCGCATTTGACGTTGCATGCAAGAGCCACTTGAATCATCAACTTATCTTGTTCAAGCAATGAACGACGATTACACGGTATTATTTGAAGAAGAAAGAACAGGGATGCCCACAAGAGGGGTTCATTTTTGAGGGGAGCACATTTGACGGGATTTTGAATTTTTGAGGGTGCAAATTTCGACGGAGTTATGAATTTTCGGATTGAAAAGTTTCAAACAAGAAGAAAAAGGGAATACATAGAATAAACCTCATCAAGTATAATTGTATATAATTTACGGTACTTTTATTTCTAATGTTTTTAAGAAGAGGAGTTCAATAAAATATCTTAGGGAGGGGAGGGGGATGGGCATCTCTGAGAAGGAATTTAATGAATTGCGTGTTTTTATCCAAGCCATAGGTCTTTGTTTAAGGAAACGTTCGCAACAAATAATGTTGACCAAAGATTTTTTTTAAAACGACCGAATCGTTTGTGTAAAGGCAATATAATGATGTACATGAAGTTGAGGAGGCACGGGCTCGATTCTGTAGAAAATGTTCCGCAGGCCTTAAATAATTTGTCGTGAAACAATAATTAAATTAAATTTTTCTCTAAATTAAACGATCTTTTAAAAAAGGAGATAAAAATACTTCATTCTTACCCTACCTTATAACTTGCTAACATTAAGATATTTCTAAATTCTTTTTTAATTCTACCTGATATGGTAAAGTCAGTAAAAATAGAACCCAGAAGGAAATACCACATCGACATAGACAAAGACAAAGCTTGGAGCTGGTCTCATAAACAAGTAGTTTGTAATCTAAGAAGCTCGACGGTATTCCGAACAGTTGCCAAGGATGAAGAGGGACATACTGGCGTCTTCAAGAATCCGTAAACAAAATGTTATTATAAATTGTCATTGTGAATTCTTTTCGTTTTAGTCACCTTAATGCATAGCAAAAAATAAAGATAATTGTACAATAGAAGAAACGATTTTGAATTGTTTTAGCGGATTTTCGAGAAAGAAAAATATTTAGGATAGTCTATAAATAGTATTACCATGTCTAATTCAATTTTTTCTAAGAAGAAGTCAACATTTTTCAAGACAAATTAAAACTTTTCCAAACCAAATTCAACCTCATACATTTCAATTACAAACTTTACAATTGTCTTAACTTTACGAATTTTTTCAACGTAAGAGATAGTAGACTCTATTATCGGAAAAATACGAAAAGTTGAAATAGAAATGAAAAGTAAACTTTCTTCTGGGACAAAGTTCCCTTAGAATAACAATAATGAACAAACACAAAAGAAAAAATACACATCTGACCAAAAACTAACTTAATAAAGATTCTAACAATACATGCAATAATTTAAATAATAGTATGTAAACAACTAAATAATAAAAGAACAATCTTCTCAAGAACACTTATAGTTATAATGAAAAAAACAACAAAAAAAAATATATATTCATTTAAATAAATCGAAAGTTATATTTGAAATGGAAACGGTTTAATTTGTCTTGTAAATAATTGAATTTGATTTGAAAAAAAAATTGTATTTGGTATGGGGAAAAAAAAAATTGACTTGGAAAAATTTGAATATAACTAAGAAATGCTACGTTAAAAATTAATAAAATGGATTTGATCAAGCCTTTTACTATTCAATTAATTAACAAATTATTGGTTGACTAAGTCTCCTGATGCATACAGAAAAATTGGAACAGTTATTTTTTCCTTATGTTATATATTTATATATTATATATAACGGTTTTACCATATGAGATTCGTCATATGAACTTGGTCTAGTTAAGATATTCATCAACAAAGTCTTCATATTCTATTATTAAATATTTTTCTCTCGGATTTTAAGTAATTTGTTGAATATTGTACACATATCTATTGTTACTTGGAGGTGAAGAATCTTTTTGTTATTATTTATTTTTTTTGGCGTGATGAATATTTTAAATATTTTGTGATTTTTAAAAATAGTAAAAATGCTGTAAAAACACTTTATTTCTATAAATATTTAAAAATAAAATCTACTTACCACCGGTATCTGAGCCTGGAGAACCATTTTCTGGATCGTTTCCGCTTGTATCTTCCCTCTTGACTCCTCTAGAAGCTACGTGGTCTTCCAACTGACAGCAGTCCATTATCAAGTTCTTATATTCTCGACCACTGAAATTATAATTTATTTACTGATTTATATTGATAATGTAATGTTAATGATGTGTTTATTTAAATATTCCCTGTTCTACAGAATGTATCAATTTAAATAGAAAGAAGGTACGAAATTCAAAAGTGTTATGATTTACACGATTGAGCTAAAAAACGTTTCGTTCAATAACATACATTTGTTGTTATTAACTATTAAAACAGTTGGTATAAACCTTTTAGATATTAAAAGGATTTTACCAATTTATTAAATTTTTCCCTTATATTTTAAAAATTTGTATATTACTTGTTACTTCAATTACGTATGTTTGTAAATGACTTATGTAGTATTTTGAAATATGGCGTTGTCGCATTAAATCCTAAATTGTTTAAAGGTAGCAATAATTCTTCAAAATCGAACAATATATTATGTAAAAGATAAATCAAAAGAAAATTTGATGCTCTACATTATTACTTAAAGTCGTATAAAAGTTATGTCTTGATTAATTGAACCTTTCAGTTGACAGAATGACTAACTCCAATTTCAACATTTTTGATTATCAATTATAGTGATATTTGTAGTAAGAAAATTTATTCCTTTATTCATAGTTCTATATTTCAACACCGAAATCACCTACTCAGGAATTAACTTACTGCCTGTACATATATTATAAATATTCCAACTAGAAATGTCACTAAAATGACTTTATTCAAAACTCTTGAAATTGGAGTGTCATTTTGTCAACTGAAAAACTCACTTAATTATTCTATGTTAATGTAATTATATTTTTAAATATTTCATCTGTTAACATTTTTAACTAATTTTGTTAACTAATTGTACGGTTTTATAATTATTAAAAAGATATTTACCTCACTACATAATTGACGCAGATTATGTTCTGTTCGTCGGCATTTTTGGAGTTGCAAACCACTGTTGCACAGGTTTGAACCCAGGTGTATCCTCCATTTTTGTTCATCACTCTGTAGTAATGCGTCAAAACTTGTCCCTTGTTGATTACTGTAATTAAACGATAAATATTATTCACCGCTTGTTTTTAAATTTCTTTGTCTTAATGACATATTTTCAACTTAGAGACATTTTTAAAAGGTTTTATTTTTTGTGTGATAATGATTCATTATCATCTTGTCTCTTGTTAAAAAAATATTGAGTTTGGCAAACAAGCAAGGTGTATGCACCTTGTTGCATAGCAAAGTATCTGAAAATGAAGTTACGAAGAAATGCTGTTATAATTTAATTTTTAAATATTTGGCGAAATCGCCTAAGTTGTTTTTTGTTGGTTGACTGTATTTTTTAAAAAATTATATATATTTTTAAACTAAATCCACTAAGGAAAATTTCTACTCCGTAAAGAACTAATTTTTAAACTATTTATCATAGACGATACTTACAGTCGATATGGCTTTTCCTAAGTCGATGGGCGTCCTCGCCGTGGCATAGAGTATACATGTTCATGCCAGTGATTTCGTCCGCCGTGTAATCGAGAAGTTCTGATACCCTGTCAGAAATAAAATATATATTAATAACATTATAATGGCATTATAGCCTTAAATTATTAATTTATATAAATAAATATACAGTGATTAAATAATTATATTAGTAGAGATTTATACAAAACTAAATGTCCAAAGGAAAGAGAACCATTGTGATTTAAAAGATAAAAATATAAAATCACTACACCATATATATTTTACAGTCAAATACGTAGGCACTATTAAAACAGTAAAACGCTTTCATTATTTATTTAAGTTATTTTTTTTAATAATTAATTTTCTTTATTATTATAAATTTTGCGTTTTTATAACTGAAACGGCTGGTTGGTTACTGTTAGTTATTTCTGTGAAAACGCGTGCGCAGAACTATAAAACTTTATTATATTTAACTATACATCTTACAGAAGATTAGTTTAAATATACATTGTGATAAAATTATAAATAATTACATTTTAATAGACGTAAAATGATGTTAGTTTGTTGTGGGATTATTTATGTGATAGATAAAGATGGTTGACTCCATGACGAATTTATTAATGCTTTAGAGATGGATGTATAGTCGACTATTGAAGGATGTAAAATTGTCAGGATGTGCATTAAATTTTTTTTTTTTTGATCTTCAGAATTTATCAATAAATTTTTAATCAGAGAATGATCTGAGAAAAAAGCGATGAGTTTACTGAATCACTTGATCCGATTCAATTACGATCTGTATGTCATTCTAAGTCTGGCAGACTCGTTACTCTGCAAAAATTTTACAAAAGAAGTTACAATTACAAAAGCAAGTTACAAAGGATAGGTTACAATTTAAATTTCTTCTGAAAGTTTCACGTGGTCATCGCTTTACTCGAGAATTATGAAAGACTTCTAGCGATGAGCGGATCGTTATGGTCTTGTTACTCACTAGCTCAGTTTTGTACATCTCAAGTTACACAAGAGTAACCGTTACTATATATAGTCGCTGCTAAATTATATCTTTTACGACTTGGAAATTAACTCCCTCCCGCTGCTTACCTTGGCTCGCAGTGGGCTATTGTGAAGTCGAAGTTTAGCCTGGTTACGAACATGTCGGATTCGAGCCGTATCTCGTGGACCGAAGGAGGCGGGAGTGCGATGGCCAATGCGACCATACCCAGCAACGGTGGGGAGGATTTGCGGGAGTGCGAGAACTGGTACTGCGGCCTCAGCCTGCAAAGTAGCAGAACTACCTGTAACAAGAACAAAAAAAAAAAAAAAAATTAATGGTTATCTAAAAATAACATGATATAAGAAAATAGTGTAATGTGAAAAAATAACTCCCGTGCTTTGCTTATGGTACATACATACATGTCCTGTGTGGGTTTATGTTTGTACTCTTGTGTTATACTGGTGACATGGTTTCAGTTCCCCTGTTGTGTTTATATTACAACGATATAAATCCAGTCCTTGTTGATTGATTTTCTTTTACTTCATATTCGATCCATTCTTCACAACTTCCATCATTAGTTCACTTCCAATTTCTTTTAACTAATCGTCCGGATGAGTATAATCCTCTATATTTTCAAAAAATTCCTTCATGGCCCCATAAATTGGATTGCAGTACGGCTTCGAGAGCGGAATAATAGGCGAGAGGAGAGTGTTTGCCGAGAGCGGGATCAGTTATTTAAATCCCCAGCGGATCTAAACAAAGGGCCGCTTAATATGCGCTACCCGCAGGGCTCGCCCTAATTGTTTTATAGCTCCGGTCTGGAGGATCTGGATTAGTATTCCCAAACTGGGTATCCACCTTATCTTTGGTCGTCTTCTCAGGATACCAACCTCCGAGGAACCAACCTAGTTTCCACACACCCTCCAACATAACCAAGTTCAATATTTTCATATAGCGTAGTGGTGCAAATTGGACTTGAATATGTTACCTAACATAATTGTACATGTTTTAATTCGTTATTTTCAATAATGAACTTCTGCAATAGACCAAGATAAAATAATGTAACCCTTATTCTCTCAAAATTATAGAATTTAGTAATTTGTACTTTATATTACTATTTGCTGGCTCGCTAATATTCCATTAGAATGGATAAATAAATAACAAATTTATTTATTGAAAACTAACGTGTCATTGGCGAAACAACAACTGAATTATGGCTGAAAGACTTCATATATGTTTGATTCAATCAATTTTTTTTATTGAATATTCGACAGTTGACCGTTGCATTATGAAGGAAGGAGATGGACCTGGGTGGCGATCATAAATACGCTAAATAGTGGTAAAACTATTTTATTGAAAGCCGACGTTTCGACCCGACTTTGCAGGTCTTGTTCAGGGAGGTGTGTTCAGTTAGGAGTTTCACTTAGAACTGAAGTTAGTTAGTTCTAAGTGAAACTCCTAGCTGAACACACCTCTCTGAAGAAGACCTGCAAAGTCGGGTCGAAACGTCGGCTTTCAATAAAATAGTTTTACCACTATTTAGTCTATTTATGACCGCCACCCCGGACTATCTCCTTCCTTTTTAATTTTTTTAATTCTTATTCAGGTGAATAGCGGTGATTCTCTAGTAGTACTAAATTAGTCTAAATGGTTGCATTCATTGCATCTACAGCGTCAATGCATTACATTTCTTCTGGATAGGTGTAAGTATTGAAAAAGATTCGGAAAATAATGAATGTCTTGCTTGGGTTTTGTTAGTTATGGATTTTATTTTGGAAGTTATTAGATTACAATAAAGAAAGGATCACTTTTGAGATGAATGTTTAGTTTAACTTTTTTTTCGTTATAATTGGATTTAATACAAGGTATATAAGAAGAATAGTTCCACTACCTTAAGCTCCAGATGGTTGAAGAGAAACGAATTAGAGTAATCTGAGTTTGCTTTTCATTAGACGTTATACTGCGGGACTTTGTAAATGTTATTAGAGTTGGAAGTTGTAGGCCCCTGGCAATGATGACTCCATCTTCATTTAGAGGAGGACTAGGGGGATATAATACCCCCAATAGGAGACCAAATAACTAGGGTCCAAGTAAGAAGAGGAAATCTCCCAAATCCCTGCGGTCTAGGCCCGGGGATGATACGCTCAATTAAAAGAAGGGTTGAGCACACATTTCATCAAGGAGGGGTGGCCCTTCCGCTTTGTTAGCAACTTAGTGCTTGGCAAACTCTTGTCATCTGTTGGCCAAATTGTTTCTTGCTCGACTCCTTTATATTTGCATTTCTATTATAGATTTTAAAGTATTATTATATCTTATTAAGATTAGTATAAGCAATGTTTATTTAATGATACTCACCCTGTATCCGGAAGACTTGAAATGGCATCCTCTTTTCGTGAGGGTCGACTTCATTCTCACGCAGAACGTTCTGTCGAAGCCTTTGTACGTTGAGGTTGAGTTAAGCGTCATCACTGTTGAAACTGAAACCGATTAGTGACGTCGAGAGGATACAACATAAACATATTAAAGAATAAAATAAATGTATAATGATTTATATATTAAATAAATCTTCATTTGAACTGAGGATAATCAAAAACTACTTAAAATAATTTGAATGAAGATGCTTAAAAACATTGCCTAAACACATCAATTGAATTTTCGCTTTAGTATATAGATCCTTTCATATTCATATTATTATTTTTTTGTTTACTGCATTATAATAACTTATAAATATAATTATATATAAAATATATGATACATAAAACTGAATTATTTAACAAAAAATAATTATTTAGTTATTCGGTAGTTTGTCAATTAAAGATATAAGAGCAGAGTGTTCAATCCTATGTCACACCTTCCAGACTTGCTGGGAGAGCACTAAATAATATTTTTGATGAATCGCTATTGCAATAACTATTGCCGTATGAAAACTCTTCATTGAAGAAATATTTTCAATTATGTATAATAGGGTTTAATTGCAATAATTAGTTGAAGATTTGAATATAAAACGGAGAAAAACGTTTACTGATTTATTCGTATCACATACAACATAACTCTTACCGAAACTTCTCAACATAAGTAATATAAAATGTATTAATTTTTTTTTCTAATCAAGAAAAATAATCTAGAAATAAATAACCTAGAAAAATACGAATATATTTATTTTGAATAAAATGAAGTCCTATAAATCCATTGAACATAAAACAGAGTTTTGGACAATAGTGCATTATATTTGTTATTTTACAAATATTTCGATAAATGAGGTTAGTTAATTTTAACCGAGTGTTAAAACTTTTATGTAACTTTTTAAAGAATTACATTTTAACAGTTTCTGTAAAACTTTTTAGAAAAAAAACGTTTTTGAAATAAAAGTTGTGGGGAAACTGTTTTGTAACAAAGTTCTAAGATTTTGGTGGTAATCCAACTATTATTTTTTTTCCAATTCTTTATTGAGAAATATTACCATCCGTCACATTTAAGGACAATCCTAATAGTGATGGAAGAGGAGTTTTTAAGTTCTTAAAAAGAAAAAGAAGCTACCTCAAATGAAAAATAAACAGTAATTGGGTTTTGGTTAGAGTTATAATTTATCTTAAAAGAATAACTTGATTGTAATATGTCGTTTGTTTGAGTAGCTAAGAATAGAAGTAAAATTTTAGAAAGACTTTTTCGAGAAATCAACAAAACTTTTAAAAATGTAGTGGTTTTTTTTAATCCAAAAAAAGTGGAAATAAAGATTCCAGTCAAACCGAATCCGATTAAAATAAATATAAAATTTCGTTTCAAGCCCTAGTTTTAGTGTTGCCCAAATACGAGACCGAGACGAGTGTTGCAGTTACTTATTAGCTTATTAATACAGAGATATTATTGTAATTTTTCATATAGGAAAAACCTAACTAAGCCCGAACAAAAAATTGGAAAAGTTAAATCCAAAGTATGTTCGTTATAAGAATTCTTTACATATAGTAAATAAAATTGTGAAGTATTTTGCAAAGTGCAAGACCAAGACCGATTTTGGGCAACACTACCTGGTTTTAACTATAACTTGAGATACTTTCAATTTAAGAAATAATTGTTAATGATCTTTATTGATAATCCAGTGCTTACCAGTTTATAACTGGCAATTATATATTGTTTCGTATGATCCGTCTAAATAGGTGCACATTTTTTATTCTGACATTCTAATAGGAAGGACTAAGAAGCTTCGACTGCTAGGAGCCGAATAAAGTCCCCCTCCGCCCCATGGGACCCATGCTTCTAACCTCTATCAGTCCTGAACTGAGTCACCCCGGAAAGCTGGTAGGGTACGCTCCAACCCCTTAGGTTAGATTGTGGAATATAGATCACTGGGTCACTGCAATCCATATGTGAGGATGTATGGATGCCCGCATTATAGCAGTTAGGAGCTTGTTCGTCCGATTAAGAAGTTGGAAGACTATTATAGCGATACCCTGACTATAGGATTACCGTAGACCCCAGACGACGGGGCATCGGGTGCGGTGAGATGTCGGTAATTGGGCCGGTTGCGGTGTGAGGAATCACGGTTCATGTGGCACGCCGCCTGACACCGAAGCAAAAACTTGTCCTTCCCTTCCGTCTAATTTACCTCTGGACATCTCGCCTGCGGTGTCCCCGGGCAGCTTCTGTAAGTATCTCAGCTCTTCACCGTCCTGTCCTAATCATCATCCGATGTTTGTCAGAATTTAGCGAATGCGAGGGAGGTTTAGTCGTGTCTCAAGTAAACGAGTGAGGATAAAAAAAAAATTCAAACCACCATGGTTCGATTATTTGAACATTTTTAGTATCATTTTGGAAAAGGATTTTCTTTTTCTACGAAAAAAAGTTTAATTTTCAAATTATAGATCTGATATTTAATTTTGAAAAAGTCTAATACGCTTATGATTTTGCTTTGTTTTATATAAGTTTTTTGGTATAGTGAAGTTTGATATGAAAACTATATCTACTTAAACTTCTAATTCAAATATATTCATTGAAGGTTGCAAAATTTAAAAAAATATATATATAAAGCTAATTAGAATTTCAATAAAAATTTAGTAAAACGATACGTTCCCCAAAAAATAAAATAATATACCCTTGAAATAGTCTTAAAAAGAACAAGTTATGCTTAAAAAATTAGAATTTTACTTATAATTAGAAAGTTGAAAAAAGTCAAAATAGTCTAAAACTTTATAATATTTAGTTCAAACCTTAATCAAATATATACATCGAAGGAAACAGAATTATAAAATTAAAACCTAATTAGGGCTTCAATAAAAATTTAGAAATTCTTTTCTTTTATTTATTTTATCTACAACGAAATTAATAATTTAGATTTAAAACAAAATATTAACTATGGTCGTCAATCAAATTTCCAAAAAATAAATAAATAAACAATGGACTCTTAAAATTTCCTGTTGCCCCGATTAAAGAAACAAGTGGAGGAATAAGGAATGTTACAGAAATTAGAATCGGACTGAAATTGAATATTATGATTTTTGATTCCTCTTTTAGACTAGATCATTCGATTTTCAACTTCAGTCTATTTCAACCAATATTTCTAAATATTCGAAGCCTAATAATGGTTCGTTCACACACAGCGTTGTGTAACGCGTTCAGTGATCTCTTTGTCTATATCATTGTGGAAGATAGCGCTCTGATTGACTACGATAGTGAAAAAATAGTAACACAATTATTACGCCAGATAGGGACATAAGGCATTCTTTGTGCTGGACATTTAAATCCTCATTCTTCCTAAAATGTGACGCAACTTGGTTGTACACTTAGCTACTAAATTATGCATAACTGTAATATTGTTGTTTATAGTTTGTTAATTAATATCACTATTAATTAATGAATATTACTATACGTAATTAATGAATGTTACTATTACTATTACTTATTAATTAATGTTACCTGGGGACGAGGTGGTTCCCTCCTCAGAGCTCTGCGGGGACCCGAGGCTCCCTTGGCCACTGCTGTTGAGACCTAGCCCGAGTTGTTCGGCCACCTCGCTGTGGTCTTGGTGGTGGACGTAATCGAACATTGACGAACCCGTCATCTCCACCTGGAAAAGAAGAAGATTTAGAGTTTTGGAATATAATTACATTAATTAGTTAAAAGTACTTTATACATAGGTAGTGAAATAACTTCATCTTCAACTAGTAATTTTCAACTTATGGAACTCGAATTCTTACAAGAATGAATTGACTAGTGAAAATCTCGCTCTTCCTATCGTTGTAGCATTATAGGTGCCAGTTAAACTCGGTAATGGACTCAGATTATTTTCTTTTACATTTTAAATATAGATGCTTACAGGAACAATTGTGCTTTCAGGGATTATATTCAAGTAGCTTAAGGAAATTAAAACATTCGGGTAAATTAGAATATAAAACATAATGTTAAAGTATTTGGCTCAGGTAATTCATAGAAACAATTATGAACAAAAGAAAAACTTATTTATTTTCTATTTTGGATTGAAGCTTCAGCCAGAAAGCCCCTCACTTGAATCCGCTGGAGGTTTGACTTCAAGTAAGAATAAATCTATTGTTTTATATTCTTCAAATTATGTCTATGTACTATAAATAACTTCATATTTGATGATGAATGGAATCATGTCATAACATGAAGAACAAAAGAAATCTATTTAATTGCATATAATGAAATAAAAACAAATTATTCAGCTGCGTATTTAGAATATAAATTATGTTTATTGACGAAAGTATAATATGTTTCTTATATTTCAAATAATCTAAATAATAATTAAGGCCGTACAATCGTAAAAAAAAAATTAAAATAAAATAACGAATACTATTTACATTTATGGTACTAATACTTATATCCATAAAAAGAAATATGAATACAGATGATACGTATTCACGGCTGCAAATATAAATACGACCGTATTCACGATTATAAAAGTGAATACGGCTATATTTACACCAGTAGAAGTGAATACGGCAGTATTGACGTTTATCAAAATGAATACGCTTACATTTACAGAAGTGAATAGAAATATTTCCACACAACCTTCTTAATGAATACTATTATTTATTAAAAAAATAAATTAATCAAAAAAATTTATTTACTATATATATAATTTTATTTTTGTAAATAATATTATATTCTTTGTTTTACAATACGTTATGTTAATTATCACTCGTAATGTTTGTAATTTATATAAAATCCGAGGCCTTTGTATTTACATTTATAATAAATTTAAATTGTAAAATTAATATAAATTGTAAAATAAATTGTTAATTAAAAATTATAAATTTTTAATGAATGTTTAACTTTTTCCAAGTTTTCATCTGTTTGTAAAAAACAGTTGAGTGCAGAAACAGCATAATTCCGAATCAAATTTTTAATTTTCCTAAGCCTAATTTATGTCGAAATAAAATTTCGAAATTTTTGCATGACAGCAACATAGATGTATATTATGGCAGAGGAGGGAAAAAGTTCAAATATTTGAAAATTTGGAGGAGTTATGACGTTTTTTCTCTATTCTGAAAATTTTGTGACTGAAGTGGTTTCTGCACTCACCGATTCAATTGCCCTGGGCACCAGCCGATCTTCAGAGGTGCTCACACTTGTAAAATATTTTTAAAAAACTTAAAAAACGTATTCAAAGAATTAATTTTAGTCTATCGATAAAGCAACAAGAATAAAATAAAATTCAAATATTACATAATATAAAACAGGTTAGAAATTAATTTAGTTTTTTTTTAGGGGATGACATAATTGTCCGTGGGCGCCGATTTATGATAATAGAGTTCGTTTACTTCGAGAAATAATCAGCAATGAAGATTTTATTTGTATTTAGAAATATATGTAGTATATAATTCGTTGTTAATTATTATATACGCGTATAGTCATTGTTATTTTTAAGCTAATAATCAAGGGTTCAAATCTTGCAATTTATTATCGTTTTGGAAACTCTTTTAAAATATTTACTATAATGTTAGTTATGTACTACAGTTTTTTCCCCTTAATTCTTAAAAACACCGCTCAACTTCTAGATTTTATTTCCCCATCATATGCTCTTCCTAAAACGTAAAAAAGCTGAGAGAGAGAGATGGGTAGAAAAAAAAGTAAACAAAAAATTTTTTTTTTTTAAATCACAGTATAGAGAAAACATCCTAGGCTCAGTAAATTGCATTAATAATTTGTCATTGGAATTTCCCTTCATTTGCTCATTATTTTATTTTAAAATCTTTCAAAAGTACTTTGATTAAACTTTTAGTTGCATCATTAACCATTAAGTGTAATACTGTACTACATTAAATGATTATCTATTATATTTGTTTGTCAACTTAATCTTTCTAAAATTCTTCGTTTTGAGTTTTAAATAAAAGATTATTATAAATATAAAAATGTAGGCGAATTTGAAGATATAACTTCCTCCATTTTTGGAGGAACATCTTAACATCTTGATTGATTATTGAAAATCGGATCTTTCAAAACAAACTAAAAATAGAAGAAATTCTTAATATACATTTTGGTCCGCAGTCTTGATCGCTGAACATCACTAGCGGATCTAGGATTTAATTTTGGGGAGGCTTCAGCCCGAAAGCTTTTTTTCCATAAAAATGACGATTATTACTTTGGTAAAAAATAAAGAAACTAACTATCTATATGAAATGGTGTTTAAGTGATTCATTAAGTCATTTTAAATGTAATTACACGAACAATAATAGTTTAAGAGACAATTTTTTAATATTTTTTTCCCAGAAAATATGGTTATATTTTACCATTTTAGGGAGGGGGGGGGCTTCAGCCCGAAAGCCCCCCGCGTAAATCCGCCCGCGCTGAACATTAAAAAAAATCTCGTTTTTGGAGTTCCAACTACTCTACAGGAAGTGTTAAATTTATCACTTAGCATCTGTGAGAAAGGAAACGGTACCCATTGTAGTAGTTTTTTATTTACTTGTAAAAAACAAAAAAAAAACTATTTACATTTCTCTGTTTATAATAATGCTATAAAAATAAATTTATGTACGACGGATATGAAAGAAAAAGAAGGTAAAGTTCGTTCTTGACTACCAAGCAGATTGGGATTTATCGACTGGCTAAGGAGACCCAACGTTGACATCTAGATTAAACTGTCTTCTCTTTGAAGGTACAGGCAGAATACAGAAGACTGGTAATGTCGCCTTGAGTCTGGCGTCTACCCCCTAGCCATCACACCCCACCACCATCTGGAATCTTAACATCAAAACTTAATATTCAAATCACAATTGTTGTATAAAACATACGCCACTGACCTTAGAATATCTAATAGCCTTTACTTTTGGTCTTGTTTCAAGGTAAACAGAGATAGTTCTGCCCGTGGGGAAATAAGGAAGTACCATTACAGAGGCAGGGAACAACATTATGGTTCGTAATAGGCTCAACGCTGCCTAAAAAGAACCCATAAAAGGTGTTTATAGTTGTCTTATCTAGTAGGATATTTTCTTCCCCATTATTACTAGCTTTATTGTTGTGAATGTCTTAAAAATGTATTCACACGCAATAAGGAGTGGTTACGTTTTCAGTTCTTCCCCGTAAAATCCCACAACTATAGGAAATTTAATTCAGCTCAACTGCTTGAGTAACGATTGCTTGCTAATTAACAGAGCATACTAATCGGCCTATTCGCTGATATTTAAGAAAATATCTTCACGGTTAACGAATGTTATGATTTTATAAAGCAAAGAGATGGTCCGGGGTGGCGGTCATAAATAGGCTGAATAGTGGTAAAACTATTTTATTAAAAGCCAACGTTTCGACCCGACTTTGCAGGTCTTCTTCAGGGCTAGAACGGACAAGATACAAAAAGATAGAGAATTGTGGAAGTTACATAATATTTAGACAAAAAATTATAAACAATGTGAATAAGCTTATTAAAATTAAAAAAACAGTAAGTACAATCAAATATGAACAGAGTAAGCTAAGTAACAAGATCCTAAACTGAAGTAAATAGATGCTAGCAATTGTTGGAGTGTAATATATAATAAATTCATATGTGAATATACTTCTAGAGATCTACTGGAGAGATTGAAAAGAATTCTCGTTATGATTTTTTCTTACAGCTGATAAAAGTCTCACAGAAAATACCAGGACTTCCATGATCATAGGACCAGGTAATGCAGTATTCTCAGCTAATCAAAAATAATAGTTTCCGCCATATTCTATAGATAATTCCTTTCAATAACCAGCGTTTCCAAAAAATTATCTGTTGAAAGAGGAATGGTTCCTCCACTTCCGAACAAAGTCTCCGTACCGAAAATCCTTTCACTGAAATCCTGTCTATATTTTACCTTTAAGTATGGAATACATTTTATATATATATCTATATATATATATTTTATTTTTCCTCATCTATTTGTATGATGGGGTTTTGATTTTCATCGTCTGTTTTAAATATTATTGTGGTGTCTAGTATTAGAGCCTTTTTTGCTCTCGCATTTAATGCTAAAATATCCGCAAAACTTTCAGAGCCCTTAGAAACAAAGGCTATAAGTGACATGTTACTTAATAATATATACCTTCGACTGCTATAGATCAACAAGCTATACGGAGGAGAATTGAATTTTTGAAAGATTACCTAAAATTACTTTTATTTCGAATCTCTTCAACTGTGATAACGTTTAGATCATCAGTGATGCTTATATTATGTAGCATGGTAAATACTGCTTTTTGTTTAGTATTCTTAGAGTTTCTCTATCCCTGAACTTCAGCTCCTTATCTTTACTTTTGTATTCATCTTAAGCTCCGGAATGGAGACCCATCAATTGAATACTCTCACAAGATGAGTTTTTATTTTTCGAATTTTAAGTCACATTTAATTAAACTACCTACTAGGCATTTTACTAAGTGAATAAATTAAGAAAAAAAAGAAGCAGAAAAATCTCGTTTATTGCAGGAAATACTGGAACATTATATTTATGTATGTATATATATATTTCAACCTCTAAACGCTGTAGAAACATATATTTAACGTATGTATAATTTTATATAAGATTTTTTTTTTTTACAATATATACAATATCCTTAATAGTATCGACTTATTATTTATTTTAAATATTT